TTAATACAATATAAAATATATAAAATAAACAAATTTTATAATTTTTACAAAGAAAATGGCCATAATAATAATGCTGCAGTTTAAAGTTTTTAACACTTTATAATATAATCAAATTTAATATAATATTATCAAAATTCATATTATATCAACATTTAAATGAATTTCCCTTTGGTTGAATATTTTATKAAATATTTAATATTTTCAGAATAATAAGCACCGACATCTTAATTGCTTTTCGCTAATTGGCAAATTTAACAATAGTTCATCTATACTATAATAATAGCTCTAGCGCTTTTGCTATGATTCATATGCGCTATGAGCCATGCCTGATAAGATCTACCCACACGCTGCCCTTTCTCCAAAGGAAATATTTACTAAACAGTTCTGTTTATGCGTGCTATTCACCAAACTTGATTTGCTTATTCTGAGTGCATTTTCTTGACATTAATTATATGTACGGATATGTGGGAATGCGTCTATATATATACATAGCTATCACTATTTGTGTGTGAATGTGTGTATACCTCTGTGTGTGTGTGTGCATTTGGCTATYCGCTTTTTTAACGATTTGTTATTCAAGACGCTTTGTCTTCTCAAAAGCGCGCGCACACACTTTACATTGTCATTCCATTTTTTTTCCGTATTGTCATTGTCCGAGCGAAGCGCGTTCTGAACACCTTTGTAATTTGCATTTACAGACATGCATAAATAATGTCAGCTAAGTAAATTTCACTTGTACACATTGTGTTGAGCGCATGTATAGCCATTGTCAATACTTATGAAATTTGTTCGAGTTTTGCTTTTAAGTGTTTCAGCAATTTTATTTATTTAGTTTTCTTTGTACAATTTGCTTTGCTGACGGCCGCAAAACTTCAATGAACCGCATTAAAGTTTACAACTTGAAGGTTCGTTCTGGAGAAGTGCATTACGTTGCCTTTTATTAGCGAATTCGTTCGGCTAATTCATATTGGTAAACGAATATGACCTTCAGCCTGAGAAATGAGGCTAGCCATGCCGCTTAGTAATCCGTCTATGCATTTCTTAAGTACATATTGAATCTGATAACACAAACAATAATACCAATAGAATGTTTTATTAATTTTCCATAAATTAACTATTCGTTTACCGTGTTCATTAGTATACTTGTTTAACTGAGTCTATTTTCTAATTAGATATTTTTAAGATAATCAGCCTTTGCTTCATCAGCCGCGCATTTGAGTGCATGCAAACAGTAATTAAAATCCCTAGCTGCATTAGCAAGTTCAAAATATCAAGTTTTAATTCAGTCTAACTAAATATTGAATTTGAATAGTAATTCTATATACATTTTTCGTACAAACTATGAAATTATGAGGGTATATAAAATTTTATTGGCATAATTTGAGAATTATTTTTAAATATTTTCAATTTTTAATTAGTTAATTCT